AATCATTTCCAACCTATGAATCTCCTTGTTTTTCTTCTCTAACTCAACAAGGTTAGTTGCATATGCATTTACATCAATTTTATACCATCTTTTACAACCATCACTAGTGGAGACATTAGAGACTTTGGTTGCCTTAGGAGAAGTTGAAGTGCTAGCCCAAAGAGTACTATAGTTTAGCTCAAGATTTTGATATTTTTCTTCCAAGCTTGTGAGGCTTTCTTGAGCTATACTCTTTTCATTCTTAAGGCTAGCTATTTGATCATTAACCGAGAAATGTTCCTTAGTCAATTTCCCAATTGAGTCATTGGCTAAAGACAATTCAACGGTTAACTTCTCAACCTTCATCTTTTCCTCGGCGATAGATACTTCAAGTGCAAGGTCTCTCTCTCTCTCTCGAGTAATTATATCTCCTTGCAACTCTAAGCATCTATCCCTCTTCTCTAATTTCTTCATTAGCATTTTTATTTTAGTGAATGCCTTTTTACCAAATTTCTTTATCATGGTTGCTTCAATTTCTTCTATGTTATCATCACAATTATCATACTCATCACTAGAGGAAACGGGTGTAGTATGTACCTTCTCCCCTTTTGCCATGAGACAAGTTGGGGTGTAGTAGTCGTTGTCGATGAGGTTGGAGAAGAGCCTCGGTGGTGAAGATAGGTTGGAGAAGAGTTTTGGTGGTGAAGTTGAGTCGGGGAAGATCATGGTCGATGAAGAAGAGTGGTGGATGGCGATGTTTGCGGCTCCCTTCTTCTTCTTCTCATCATCACTTGAGTTACTATCACTTGACTCCCATTCTTCCCCAAGATGAGCTTCACCTCTCTTCTTGCCTTTGTTCTTCTTGTCATCATCCTTGTCATGCTTGTGCTTCTTTTTCTCATTAGGACAATCGGCTATGAAGTGACCGATTTGACCACATGCATAGCAAAAATCTCTTTTGAACCTTCTCTTACCATCACCATAGGTCTTGCGGTTGCTTTTCTTCTTCATAAACTTTCTAAGATTTCTAATCACAAATGCAACCTCCGTGATCGGAATCTTCTTCTCCACTTGAGGAATCATCCTTCACTTTCTTCTTCTTTTCTTGACTTGAACCTTCATGTTGTTGAGTTGCTTTAAGGGCGGCACTCTTGTTGAATCCCATTGCATTAGGATTTTGATTGTGAGCATTGATTGCATCTTCATCTAGACACTCATGATGCTTGAGCTTTGAAAGAACTTCTTGAGGTGTCATCTCATCATAACCGGGCCTTTCCATGATCACGGACGCTAGCATGTTGTTCTTGGCTCTATAGGTTCTCAACATCTTTCTAGCAACTTTGTTGTCATCCTATTCATTGCTACCAAGAGCTCTTATGCGGTTGACCAATGCCATGAGCCTATCAAACATGGATTGTGTTGTTTCATTTTGCAAGAATACAAATCTTTCCAATTCACCATGAAGTAACTCTATGTTGCCTTTTCTCACACTTTTATCTCCTTCAAATGATACTTTCAAAGTATCCCAAATTTGCTTTGCACTTTCCATTCCATTCACTTTTCTAAACTCATCCGGAGCTAGGCTTGACACAAGCAATGCTACGGCTTGTGCATTTTGATGGAGGTTGTGCACTTCTTCCGGAGTTATCTCTCTATCTTCATCGGTAGGAATCATCACACCAACATCCACAACTTCCCAAAGTCTTGCGGCTATTAGATGCATCTTCATCTTGTAAGACCAATCGGTGTATCTAGTTCCATCAAAGTGAGGTGGCTTGCCAATATTGACGAACGGAGTATGTAGTGTTGAACCTTTCATTATTTGTCCATAGTCAAAACTCATGTGTGAATATATTCCTTTTCCATGAGCATGCTCACTGGCTCTAATATCACTAGCGGCATCTTTGTTTGCTTCATTCTTGTCACTAATATCATTCTTGCCACTTATTGCATCATCAACCTTCTTGCTCAATTCTTCCTTCAACTTGCTCATCTCATCTTGCATCTTTTTCATTTCATCTTGAAAGAGCTTGACTTGAGCACTCATCAACTCTTCAGCTATTTTCTTGGCCATTTCGACGGCAACGGCTTGCATCTTGTCGGTCTCCGACATTGTTTCTTCTCATGTGGTGAAACGCAAAGAGAAGACCTTGCTCTGATACCAATTGAAAGGATCTAACAATGCCTAGAGGGGGGTGAATAGACGTATCTAAAAATTTACTGCAAATGCTAAGTTCAAATCTGTCAGCCACTGTCGGAAGTCCCAACGTTTGGGTCGGAACTCCCGACGTTGTCAGAAGTTCCAACGCAAACGTCAGCAGTCCCGACGCCTAAGTGAACTACAAAAGCAGTGCCAAATTTAACTTTGCGGATAAATAATCTTACAACCTCACTTCCTAGTGGTTTGGTGAAGATGTTGGGTCACTCCCATGACGCCGTAATGCCTCCAAACCGTAGATCGAGTCCAAACCCTAAAATGGAGATTTTGGAGACAAAGAGACAAACACATACAAGTAATCTCAAGCAATCACAACAACAACAAGCACGCGGGACACAAAGATTTATCCCGAGGTTCGGCAACCCCACAAAGAAGCTCCTACATCCTCGTTGTTGAGGTGACCACCAAGGTCGGAGTCTTTTCCACCTCCTTGCCTCTCTCAAAGCGACCACAAAGGTCACTTGAGCTTTCCACTAAGAAATCGAAGGGTGATACAAACTTCCCAAGGCTCTTCCACAAGATGGAAGCTCTTGGGCAATGCCTAGCGGCTAGGGCAAAGCCCCAAGAGTAATAGACGCATAAAATCAACCGGTTTGACGAAGAAATCAAGTGCTCAAGCTTTCCAAAGTGATGCTCTCACTTAATCCACTCTCCTTTCACTTAAAACCCTAAGGAATCAAGATTGGAGCTAAGGGGAAGGAGAGGTGAGCTTTAGTTGCTTGGGAGCTGTTGAGCGCGAAGTGGGTCAGCAGTGAGTGAGTCATAATAGTTAGAAGTGAAGAGAGGAGTATTTATACTCCAAGTGAAAATCGAACCGTTCAGATCAACGCCGGAGTCCCGACGCAGATCTCGGACTTCCGACATTAATGTAAAACAATGTTCACAACGGGTCAAGTCCTCGGGTGCAAGTCGTTGTCGGAACTCCCGGCAAATGTCGGGACTTCCGGCGTGCACGATTGATCAAGCAACAAGAACAACGACGATGCGGGACTCGGCATGGGTCAAGTCGATGTCGAAACTCCCGACAAACGTCGGGACTTCCGACGAGCATGTATAACCACCGATCGAAGCAAAGGGTGCCGGGACTCCGGCTTAGTTCGGGACATCCGACCGTCGGGAGTTCCGACATACGCCGGGACTTCCGACGCCCCTGCATGAGAAAAAATATTCTGTGTGTTCGTGAAGTGCTAGAGTGTCTCCCTTTTGATTTTATTTAAATGCTTGAGCACTCTATCTTCCTCAGACCAACTAAATTTGCATCCCTCTTTATAGTGCGGCGGATTCTAAACTAAAAATCAAAATTGAGTTCTTCCGCCCTTACAACTTCAAGAATTGAGGGATAACATTTCATCTTTATCAACTCTTTGATTCTTTCACGGGACTAATAGCTGCGACATATCTCATTTAGATCACATTAGTCCCTAATTTGGATGTCATCAATACACCAAAACCCACATAGGGGCGAATGCACTTTCAGTTTCTAAATTCTCATAGAAATATTTTGGATCTAAATTCTCTTCAAAACGTTTTTCGGTGAATCGAATCATTTTGTGGAACTAGCTCACTAGATTCTTGAAACTAGAACTAGAATAAGAAGAAACCAGATTTTAGATGTTTCTCTGAACTAGTAAAAACGAGAATCAGTTTCAAGTATTTTTTTCTTGAAGCATTTCTCTTTGTAGCTTTCGTCAACCATTCCAATGGTTCTACTAAAAATCTGAAAAGAAGTTTATCGATGTCAAATGCACCCTTAAAGAGGTACGGAGTACCGTTTAAGCTCCGCGTTACTCACGCCTAGGGATGAAAACGGTACGGATATTTTTCGACTGTATTCGAAACCGAATCCGTTTAGAGGGGTTGAGATCTGTCCGTATTCGAGTCCGGATATCCAACATCCGATACCGTATCCGTATCCGAATACTCAAATCACATATTTATGATGTCGATATCCAATCGTTTCCTATCCGACATAGTTGACACTATCCGTATTCGAATCCGAATCCGAACAGAAATATGAAAACAAATATAATATCGGTGATATCCGTCCATATCCAATCCGTTTTCATCCCTACTCACGCCCAGACAGAGACGACAATTCTGAATTCATGTGCACAAGCAATAACTACGGACAGGTAGCCTGCCTAGCAGCACATAAAATCCCCATCACAGTTCCCTTTAAGAACGCCATCTGTTGTTTTTTCGCATCTAGATCGTGGTTTCCTTTTCTTTTCCAAACAGCTTCAAAATTTCCCTGACAGACCAATATTATAACAAAAAGTGTAAGTATTTAACCCTTGCGTTTATGCCCTCGGCCAAAATCTTTTGCACCCACCAGCCCAAATGCCCAGTCCTAGGCAGCAGCCCAGCATGAACAAGCCAAAAAGCCCAAGCAGGGACTTTATGGAACCTCAGTCATCTCAACCCAGGGTTTTCGGGTATTTTTCATCTCAGCAACTGTTTAAAAAAAAAGGGCAGACCCGGTGCCAGAGGCTCCCACATGAGTGGGGTCTGGGGAAGGAAAAAACCAAGGCAAGCCTTCCCCCCGCAAAATCTACGGAGAGGCTAATAACAGCAACTGTTTGTCGAATCATAATATGCCACGTCAGCAACACAATGAAAACAATCGGAGGAGAAAGGCAGATAATTCTGCTATCAAATACCAGATCCCAAGTTCTTTCAGAGGAAAAAAAACAGTTTGCAGACATACATTTCATGCAAAATCCGATACAATTAAAGCTGACTAAACCTTTGTTATAGCACAAATTATTCATACCACATATATATTCTCCGACAAAAATCATAGTTACAAAATTGTGAGTACGCTGTTGGTATCTAGTGGAACAAGTTTTTTATTGGCTTCCTGCCGCCCATAGCGTTCATACCCAGTTGAGGTAGATGTAGGTAACTTTAATTTCCAACCTGGTTTCACAATCAAATGCTCCAAGGCTAATGCATTTTTAAAGATGTATTTTGCTAGTCCGACCTGTCCAGCAGTTCCGTAAAAACCATCTATGCAAACTATCTTGAGATGATAATGAGGAAGATCCATTATGTCGTCCAGATCACCATGGCATAAATCAAAACCAAACATCTGCAATAAAAATTTCCACCTTTTATTACTGACAAAAAACTACTATGAATATTTGCTTTTTTACCTTTTTTATAAAAAGATAAATGATACATCAAACAAAAAAGGGGAAAAGAATAGCCTGCACACAACTTATTATTAAAACAAATGGAGAATCAACTTTGGAACTATGTCCAAACAGATGTTTTTATGCATATATAAGTACAAGTCAACAAACAATTAATAGACTATCAACCATACTATCAACTTAGTGCGTACTCCCTCCGTCCTAAAAAGAGTGTTGTTTTCGCTAGGATCTGGACAAACATTTATCCAGATCCATAGCAAAAGTGACAATCTTTTGGGGACGGAGGGAGTATTAATATTAATCATAGCTTGTTAACAGTATCACATCCTGAACATTGTACTCATCAAAGTCAACATCGTAATTGACCTAGAATAAAGCTTCTCATATGGGAATGACCAAGAACGATAGAAAGATAAAGATCAAATGGTTATTATCATAGGGAAACCATGATATTGTCGATCAATGCTAAACAATATCTATTTGTCAATGAATTATGCTTGGATTCTGTTCTCTAAAAGGAGAAAGATAGTGGCTGACATAACTCAGCTTACTAAGAATGCATACCAGACAAGTAGTTTATAGTTGATAAAGAGAGAAGTTGGAAGTGGTCTGAAAGATCACTCTATATGGGTTTCTAGAACAGATGGAGCATACAAAACATCTGTAAGGTAAAATAAATAAGGTAGAGCTGTATGACATTAACTCGGTAACAATGAAATGGCAAACATGTGTAACCACAGAAAGTCGCAGGCATACAAAACATGTACTTACATCGAAATGAAGATCCTCTAAAAGTGGAGCTGCTTCCAAAAGAAAAGCCAGTTGAAAAACTGAATTTGGATCACAGCAGCTGGTTATTTCCATAGTTAAATGCCTCAACTGAATAAACTTAAGAGGGGGCTGTGTAAATCCAGACATCTGAAATAAGTTTAGTGGAAGTGAGGCAACAAGATATGAAATTGGAAAAACAAAATAGTGCAGAAGGTAGAGAGAGGACAAAACAGACCTTGCTGCTGATCCTAAGTTTGACAGACAGAGTGTCAACTTGAGGAAGTATACATGGAATCCAAGTCAGCACATATTCAAGAGTATCGTTCAGATAGAGTCTGATAGTTGCTGTCTTAAGCTTCAAGCATTCATTAAGATTAATCAAAGTTCGGGAACCTTTGTACTCGAATGTCATGAGATTAGGTGCATGAAACTCAATTTCACGAAAAGCACAATCTTCAACACATAGATATTGCAGACGGTATAATGGCTCTTGAACACACAGAGATGACAGGCTTGGCAGCTGGAAGAAGCACAACCGGATTCTCAACCACTCAAGTACACAGCATTTCGATAATAAGTGCTGTAAATCTTGCGATACGATAAAAAAGACAAGATCAAGCATTTTAAGATTTGCAAAGCCACAAAAATCAGGAGGTGGACCCAAAGTGACCCAGTGAAGCTGAAGAGCCTGAAGGTGAGATCCACTATGTCCATCGAAAAGTTGAAAAGGGAAGTCATAATTGTCTCGATCTAATGCGCTCTTATTAGGAGAGAGGTTGAGAACGACAACTCTTGCCTTTGATGCAATAGCAAACGAAACCCATCTGTTGATATGACTAGCATGCTCTGTCGACAAACCAAACTCAATGGCAAACTTGTTCACCTGCGTGGTGCAATGGTTTTTCAGGATGGCATCAACCCTCTCAATGAACTTGTTAGTGGTCAGCATTCTTTCCTCGGATCAGTGAAAATTAATTCTGTATTGGCACGACTTCCAAGCACTGTCTGAATACCAAAGTAGAGATTAGGATGGAACACACAAGCTTGTCTCCACGTGCTCGACAGCACGCACATCTGAGCAGCTTCCTTCAACGTTAATTTTGATGTTATCCTCAGAGCAATATCCTGAATGTGCAGTTTGAATCAGCAACAAAATTTAGTCTACTATCTAGCACATACAAGAGGAATATTTATGCCAAGATATCGTATAAATACCTCAGGAAGACTCTGGATATTAACTTTGCACGGTATTATGCTTTGAAAATCAAGCTGCCGCTGTCTTATCCTCCGAGAATTAGATTTTGATCTTCTTCTCTTAGTGGTGTAGTTTCCACCTGTAATCCCCACCTCTTTGGTTACTGGAGAGTTGCTGTGCTCCAAGTGTGACATACTTGCTGTTTGCTGGGGTGCTGTTGGCCCTGAAATTAATAATAATGAAATGATGAAAAACAACCAGTAAGCGTAACAATGTGCTGGTCCCTCGTGATTTAGTTGGAATAAAACATGCTGGGCAACAAATATATCCACGAGGTCTGGCATGCCTGTACACAAATGATGTAAAGAGCGTGTGCATTAGAAGTAAAGGACATTTGTATATGCACCACAAACTATCTCCGGTTGGGCGGACCCTAAAGGACATCGGTGTTACACATTTTGTATACATATATATATACTCCGTACAAAAAAATTGAAGTTAGTAGGCACGTATACGCTTTTAATTCGATCCGGTCTTAAGTGTTAAGTCCTAACACAAATAGCTAAGTTAGGGTTCGGGTTGCTCGGTTTCGCACAGCGTGAAAGGCAAGAGAACGGGTGCGCATACCTGGTGTGTGCTCGTCGCCGGCTAAGGCCCCGATCAAGACCTGGCGAGGGTACCGAACCGAAGAAGACCTGGTCACCTCGGGCGGCGGCAGCGGTCGGCCCGTCGCCACAGGAGAGAGAGAGAGAGAGAGAGAGAGAGAGGCCCAGGGAGAGACAGCGGCGCACGCGGGGTGAAGGGGAGAAGAAAAGGCAGGGGGAATCCGGATCCGGGGCCTGTTCTTTGGTTTCACAGCGGATTTGGCGCCCAGGTGTGGTGGGCTGGCGCTGGCGCTCCCAGATCTTCCTCAAACGGACACTAATCACAACTCACGGTTTGATGGCCCAGTAAATAAAAACTTTATTTACATTTGTAGTCCGATGATAGTAATAATTTATACATTCTATTCCTTGCATAATTTTTCAGTTTTATGGATTCCATTTTTTTCTGGTCAAAGTTGTATCTGCTACAAATTGGAACCATGAGTTAGTTTCCATACTTTTGTAAATATAAATACTAAAGATGGCAACGGGCCCCGATACCCGATACCCGACGGGTATTTGATCGATTAGGGGACGGGATGGGATCATATCTTTACCCGTGGGCATTTAAATGGCAAGAATCCATCCCCGATGGGTATAGCGGGTACGGGAACGTTCCCTGTTTACCCGTCTCCGTTACCCGTTGAGGAACCCGACTATTTGAGCTGTCATGCGAGTATTAGGCCCAAAGAAGCTCAACATAAGTATTTTGGTCCAAATCTGAACAATCATATATATAGTTTGTGTATTCTAGGAACCCTAGTTCAATTTTTCCTCACCATCTCCGCCAGCAGCACAAGCACGCCTACCTCACGAGCGCTCGTGCCCCTCGCTTCTTCAGTTCGGTCTCTCTGCCACATTTGCTCGTCCTCCTCGCAACCTCACTTTTTCTCCTCGGCATCTCCGAGACTCCGACACTTATACCCGGGTGAAGAAGAAACATCTCTGATTGCAAAGCTGCGACCCCAAGTGTGTTTGTTTATCGGGTATGCAGTACCCATCGGGTATCTGTTACCCGACCGATGCCCGACGGGTACGGGGATGGACAAGAATCTATACCCGAGACAGTTAACGGGGACGGGATGAATTCTCTGTAGTAGGGAAGAGAACGTTCCGACGATACCCGACAGGTACATCCCCATTACCATCCTTAATAAACACACAAACTTCTTTCAAAATAAAAAAAATAAATAAACACGGAAACTAACGGAGGCAGCGTTTGAAGAGACTACGTACTATATGGATGTAGAAGTTTCAAAGCTAAATAAGATGCAAGTTTGTTTTTCCACTGAAAACAGTTGTTGTAGGTGATTCTTGCGGTTATACCACCTGGTTTTGACTTTTGAGACATTGGCTGATTTCATATTTATTTATCTATCGCTAGTTGGTCGTCTCACAAAACTATACGTGCGAACACAAGGTTGATATATGCCCTTGCGGTTCGATTTGTAATGAGTGATTGTCAACGTGATCCACGACCTAGGTTGAGTTTGTGACTAACCATGGCGTGAGTTAGGGTGTATGACATGTCTCTTGGCTTATGGTGTGCAGGTGTGGAGTTCGGAGGTGGTGGTCGGCGGCGAGGTGAAGGCCAAGTATGGACGTGTCGTGCCGATGGACTAGAAGTGGTGAAGGACGGACGTGAGGTTTGGACTGAGGGACCAGGAGGTCGCGTGACCAACCGCGGTGGCTGACATCTGGGACATTGACAAGCGCAAGTGTACATGTGAGTGACCGTGTTGACCGATTCAAGACGGCGGACGTGCGAGTCGAGCGGGGCTCAGGAGGACTTGGCGGACGACCGGTAGAGGACGGCGGTGACACGTGTCGAGTGACTGGGGGACGCGTATGGAGTACGCTACTCGCGGACGGTTTGGTGGTTTGGGCCTCAAAACCATCCGTGGCCGGTTTCGCGGGGTTTAGACCTCAAAACCCGGGCGGAGGTTCCGAGGAGGAACGGACGATATGTGGCGGCATCGAGGAGTTCGCGTCGAGGCGAAGCTATCTCATGAAAGACACAGTGGCCGTCGGATGAAGAAAAACTTGGACGGATTTACCCTTAGCGGGTATTTGGGATTAGTACTTCATGTCAAAGCGTTTTTGTCTTTTGACGGCCGCCTGTATATATATGTGAAGGGACTGGTTGGGCAGCCATCCTTAAGGCTCACTCTCATTTGTGTGGTGGTGTTGAGAGGAGGCTAGGGCTAGAGAAAGGAGTGACTCTTGTTTTTTAGCTTTTTGTCATCTTAGTTTTGATTAGACTAGGAGTGGATTGTAATCTGACCTCTTGAGCTAATCCAGGATCAATTTCGTGCAGCATTGGTTCCCCTCTCCAAATCAGTCGTTTTTTTTTTGTGTGATTTTCGGAGCTATTTTGGGGATTTTTTGTTTCGTTGACTCTAGACCAAATCGGTTCGTTCTTTTTGCGTTGATCCGTGCTGTGACATGAGTTGAAGCTATCCCAAGGATTAATTTGATTGAATCGACTCGAGCACGGGACTTTTTCGTGTTCTCGGCTCGATCAAGATTTTCCGGAGATTGGGTAGAAATTAGGCGACGATTCTTTCGGGATAGCTCATCCACTCCGTGGTGATTATCTGTGTAAAGTTTGGGAGCCAGTCGTGAACGTTTGATCGAGTTTCTCACGATTTTTGGGAGCGCCTGTTTCTCTGTTCGTGTTCTTCTGTGTTCGTTCGTAGCTCTTCAGCAGAGGTGCTCGTGCGTAAGTCCGGACAGCAGGTCCAGCGTCGTGCGGCGCTCGTCCTTGGGCCCATAAGCCCCGGGCACTTCCACGCAGCAGGCAGGCTCCGTCTGCCAGGGACCGCTCGGTCTTCCTCTCCCTCTCTGCTTCTCTCGGTCAGGCTCCAGTGCGAGCGCATCGGTGGCCACCGGTGTCGTGTGAGTCGACTCCCAGCAGTCCGCTGATCTCTGGTGCCCAGCGCCTGCTCTCCAGGACCCGCTCTGCATCTGCCCAGGAGGCAGGCAGCAGCGCCCGGTGGCTGCTCGTCGTGAGGCCCAGTTGCATGCTCGGTCACCATGAGAGAGCAGGCCAGGAGCGCCCCCCAGATCTGTATGCTTGCTCAGCACCAAGCAGTGCTCGTCGTGAGCCCAAGTCACGAGCCAAGGTGAATCTGTGCTTGTCTTTGAGTCAGCTGCTTTTGATTGGTCCAAAGCATAATTCTTGCATCCGTGAATTACTAAAGCTTGATTAACCAATCTGTGAAGTATTAAATTACTTCTTTCTCTTGATATGATATTCATGGCTGTGGAATTAGCCCTTGTTTAGTTCGCGAAATTTGGATTTTGGGGCAACTGTAGCACCTTCGTTTTTATTTGGCAAATAGTGTTTAAACATGGACTAATTAGGCTCAAAACATTCGTCTCGCAATTTTCCACCAAACTGTGCAATTAATTTTTCTTTTCGTCAACATTTAATGCTCCATGCACAGACCGCAAACATTCAATGTGACAGGTACTATAGCAACTTTTTAGAAATTAGGGTGGAACTAAACAATGCGTTAATTTCTTCTCCCTGTGAGTGGTGCTAGCAGGCTCGGTCCAGTGCAGTTGCTGGGCGAGCAGGTGCAGCTGCTGAGCGCTTCGTTCCCTGCAGTGCCGAGCAATTTCCAGCCGTGTTTAGTTGGCGAATTTTTTTGAAAAATGGTATTGTAGCACTTTCGTTGTTATTTGACAATTAGTGTTCAATCATAGTCTAATTAGGCTTAAAAGATTCGTCTCGTGAATTTCGTCTAAACTGTGTAATTAGTTTTATTTTTTATTTATATTTAATGCTTCATGTATACGTCCAAAGATTCGATGTGACGGAGAATCTTGAAAAATTTTGCAAAATTTTGGGAACTAAACACCACTTCAGTAGCGCTCTCTCTGTAAGAATTTTCCAGTCTCTAATTCCTGAGCTCGTAAATTCGTCCGTGGTTTGTTCGTTTGAGCTCCGTTTAGTGTTCCGTCTGTCTTTTGCGTTGGCTTTCTACCGTTCCGAAGAATTTTCTAGGTACTCTCGTCACTAGTTGGTTTGGGTATTTTAGTTCGAGAACTCGCGTGATTTTGTGAGAGCGGCCAAAAGTTTCGAGAGAAATTTTACGGCTCCCA